CCGATCTCCGGGGATCCAGTGAAGGAACACACACTCTGAAGAAAGAGATTATGAGATGTTGTGTGTGTGTGTGTGTGTGTGATTTCTCCAGAGACGCTTCCTGATGATGTTTCTCTCGCAGGTCAGAGGCTTCATTCCACGGGCACTTTATGAAACGGGTAAATAACAGAGACATGTCTTCAGTTTAGCGAACGCCTGAGGGATTGTGTTGCTAACATCTATAATCGAGCCGGAGATCTCCACACACTCAGCTCTAAAGTCAAGTTTATATAGTTCAAATGGATTACAGAATTTGATCATAACAAACTAAACCCGGCTCAGGCCTTCAGGCAGTTCTGACTCGAGTCGCTGTGTCTTTTCTACCGGATCCGACTCGCGATTTCCGTTAAACGGACGAACGAAACTACGAAATCTCCCAGAGTTTCACTGAGGCGGTGAACGCCGTACAATAAGGCTAATGAAGTATTGAAGCTTTCTATTACTAGCAAAGCCAGACTACTATCCTAAAATAACGTGCTAAATCATGCTAGCAACGTGCTAATTCATGCTAGTAACGTATTAAATCATGTTAGCAACATGCTCAAGTTACCATTGCGTTAAATCCTGCTAGCCACAAACGAACAACATGCTTATCATGTTAACGTTTTAAAACATACTAGCAATGTGTTAAATCATGTTAACAACATGCTAATCATGTTATGTGCTAATCCTGCTAACAAAATGCTAATCATGCTAGCAAACATGTTAGCCATGTATTAAATCTTGCTAGCAAAATGCTAATATTTTGCCAACATTAATTAAAATGTATTAGCAATGTAAATCATGCTAGCCACATGCTAAAACATTTTTTTTTACTTTCTCTGAGTGAAAACTCAAGCTCTTTTAAACGTACAGATCTGCTTTTGTCACGCCAACGTCAATGTTTGTCATCAAACCTTCCTCATCTAGCTAACACTTTGCCTCTTTTTGGTTTTATTTAAATACTCATATTTTCAATATGCAATAATTCAGATTGCTTTGAATTAGCAAAAACCTGTTAATTATAAATACAATAATGTTTTATTTAGTTGAAAATGTGGAACAAGCGATAATCAGTCAATTACAAAAATAGATGTCGTAAAAGAAAGCTGGATATTGTGTGTTTAAAGTTTATGAGTAAATCTGACCCGTTTCGTTGATGTACGACTGACCAATACGCATCACTCTCAGTTTAACAGTGACTTTATGTGTGTAAACTGGATGCAATTCAGGCCTAAACATTCTTCTTTACACTGACCTTTCCGGCACTGTCTGCAAAGTGACGAATGAACAGCAGAACCGTATTCGGGTCGCTTAAATCTCATGAATATTCAATGAGCATCTGATCTGACAGACCGCTTAAATAAACATGATGCGAAGCCTTGTGGGAGAGACTGTGATCTGGGAACGGGAGTCTGAACTCCTCATGTCTGAGAGGAAGAGACATGTTTGTGTCTCGTTTATAATTCGATTGGGAATATATTAATTGCGGATGTGCTCTCAGTTCATAACTTCGTTTGTCTCGCGCTGATGATGCGGATGTTCTTCAAGCTCTCTGATATCATCAGCTAAACCTGGACGAGAAACAACCGAGTCATTAGTCCGAGTGTAATCTCGGAGGAACAAACACATGGCAGATTAAGACGATAACTGTAGAGATAACCATAACTCTATTAGCGCCCACGCCGCACTGTTTATTGTGTGCCTGTCGCTTTAAATACTGGAGCTCTGAAAGCAGGATGGATTGTGATTGGCTGTCAATGTTTTTATCGGTCATCAACTGGAAAAAAAGCGAATTACAAAATTTAATAGTTATAGAAGCTTGTTTCTGCCACAAAAAAATAAAAATTTAAAAAGGTAATTGCAACTTTTTATTTTACAATTCTGCCTTTTTTATACTGGAAATATTCAGTGTTGAAAACAGTTATATTTCTGTGGAAACTGATATGAAATTTATTTCTCAGGATTATTTGATGGATAGAAAGTTTAAAAGAACAGCATTTATTTGAAATATAATCTCTAATGTCACTTTTGATCAATTTAATGCGTCCTTCTTTCTCTGTATAACGGCTTCAACAAACACATGAACCGTTTTCAAAACTGATAATAATCATTATGTGTGTTGATCATCAGATCCTCATATTAGAGTGATTTCTGAAGGGTCATGTGACACTGAAGACTGGAGTAATGATGCTGAAAATCACAGGAATAAATTACACTTTACTGTATATTCACATAGAGAACAGATGATTTACACTGGAGGAATATTACACAATTTTACTGTATTTTTTGATCAAATAAACGCAGCCTCGGTGAGCAGAAGAGACTTGAAGAAACATGGAAAAGTCTTAATTATTGTGAACGTTTGATGTGTTCTGAGAGTAACGAGGTCAGATCATAGTGAGAATCGGCCGGTCGTAACTGGTTCACTGTGTCAAGAGCGACGACACACACATTCACACGATCCTCAGAAACACCAGATGCTCGTCTGGCAGGATCAGTGTGTGCGAGTCCCTCATCTCAGTGCAGTGCATTTTGGGAAACGAGACACTGAGAACAGCATGAGGCCGTTTCAGACTCAACTGTGTACACACACACACACACACTTCTCACATTATCAGTTTATTCGCTATAGTTTAGTAAATGGTGATAAATATGAGCAGAACTCAGTGTATATTTGACTGGTTTTGTCCGTCCTTCTGTTGGACTCTCACACATGAGTTATGTTGAATATCTGTTAAATTAGATAATACCAGTTTAGCTCAACCAGTGACCAAGCAATGATTCATGTTTTTCAGTGTGTGTGTGAAAAGAGCATTAGCAATTACAGAAAACACACTTCAGCAGAACATCATCATCTCAAAGTGTCTTAATGATATTTGATCCCACATGTGTGTAAATGTCACTGGTTGTCGCTGTATGAAGAATATTTGGATGTATTATGTCACACTATACTATATTTTGCTCTCCTCCTTTATATACATGAACTATCGTGTCCTGAACACACTAAACATGTCAATGATATCTGGTGTGTGAATAATGTGTGGTTTGCCACGATTCCTGATCAAAACTCACACACCCATAAATCATCAGTGTTTCAGTGCTGGAGACTCGGCTCGTTGACCGCAGCACACTCGTGTTCAGGATACACAAGCTCCACCGAGATGATTGATGGTCTATTATAAAACTACAGTTTCTCCACAACATGATTTTTACCTCAAATGAGCCATAAAGCCCAACATGAAAGTCATATCAGTCCAATTACAGAAGAGCGGGAGTCCTGCAGGACAGAAACACACACGAGTAAACAAGAAGCTGTATAACACAGAGAGAGCCATCATCAGCAGTGGACTGATCATGCTCTGAGGATAAAGCACTTCTGTGTTTATTAATACGACAGACCAGCGTTTATTATCAACCTTAATATATCAGAAACATCAAGTTCGCCGTTTCTTCACTCTAAAACAGGTTAAAATCAACCTAATTTGGGTTGTCTTGTCTTCAACCTAAGGTCTGGGTAAATATAAAAAAAACCACATGTTGGGTTCATTTTACCCAGCAAAATGGGTTGTTTAACCAGCATTATGGTCGATTTAACCCAGTTTATTAATGTTTTACTACTAGCATTTTTTTTTTCATCTACTGATTTACTTAAATCCTCTAAACGTTTTAAAGAAATAACTTACTCTGTAACCACTGGCTTGCAGGAATATTCCTTTATTTTAAAATATATATTTTAGCCTACACTATATTTTATATCATTTTTAATACATATTGCGAACATTTAAGCTCATTTAACAAATATTAGAAAGTAAAAACTAAATATTTATAAGTTATTAAAGGGTAATGGAGTGTCTGTTGTTTTCACAGTTCTGTGGTTTATGTAAATCATCGGCCGTTTCCATCACGCGAAAACACTGACGCGACACCCGTGACTACCGTGTGTCGATTTGCATAAAATTAAACCATATACCGCACAATAACCGATTTTTAGATAAGATACAATGTACACAAACCTGTATTTTACTGAAGACATGCACCAAGATGGCGCTGAGATCTGCTCTGTCGCTCGCTCTCCAGAAGAGGTCGCAAAAAGCCCGCGAGAAATAACTCAACCGCTGGGTTAAATAATTACACAAAATGGTCAACCCAGGGTCTGGGTAGAAAAAAAAAAAATAACCCAGGATTATTTCTAGAGTGTGAACGTCGCATTTCCATCTTTAAACCTGACTAGGAGATGCCATAAATAAAATAAATATGGGTGAATTCAGGATGATTGGGACACTTTTTCTAAGTCATCTCAATGGCAGAAACTGTCCCAGATAACCATCCTCAATTTACACCAAAATTCTATGAAAGTCTATACAATTTGCATATTAGGAACAACCAATGGAAACGCCCCAAACTAGTGACATCATTTCTCTTGTCCAATCAAGCAGGACGCCTGTGATCAATCCTAGAGCTCCAGTCTTTTCTGCCTGCTTGCTTCCCAGTTCATGCTCAGATTCTGGCAGCTCATCCATTACACACACACACACACACACACACACACACACACCATTACCCAAACAGCTCCTGGGTTTCAGTGTTCTGGGTCGTTTCCCTTTCATTGCTGTAATTTATCGATGGTCTCGCTTAAAAACCTCATCACATCTCAGAAACACACACTTCTGTCCAGATCCAGGAGAACACTTCGACTCGCTGGTGTTTAAACACAATCAGCAGAGAGAGAGAGAGAGAGAGAGAGAGAGAGAGAGAGAGAGAGAGAGAGAGAGAGAGAGAGAGAGAGAGAGAGAGAGAGAGAGAGAGAGAGAGAGAGAGAGAGATCTGGCCAGAGGAACTGATCATCACACTAAACTCACTCACTGGACTCGTCCGTCCATCCATCCACTATCCCTCCATCTCCCATCCATCCATTCATCCATCCATCCATCAGTGTGATCGACTCCTGTTCCTCTAATGAAGACACACTGCAACATAACTCAGAGAGAAATTACTTTTATTACAAAAATATACTGTTTCATTCAGATGTGGGAACTGAAGACTCATCTGATGTTTGAGACCATACCGATATCAACCTGACATTTACAAATATATCTTCAACTTCAATATAGTTCTTACAAATCTCTACATTTAAATTAATTCTCATAACACACCAGAGCACATGTTACACAGTACTTAATATAATATTACATACAAAAAACCTGAATGATTAAACATAAATCTAACTAAACCTTTCATTTAAACTGATTAAAATAGTTTAATTTATTCTGATTAAAAAATACTGCTATATATATATCAGTATTTTTAATGTAATATTAAACAGTAGAAGTTTATTGCGTAAGAGTTTATTTTCATTTATTTATATTGTGGGTCTAAATTGCAAAAGTTGTCAAAAAATAACCTCAAATAATAATTTGCATAACTATAAAACATAAAATAATTTTCCAGTGGTATTGAGCATCACAAACAATCATAAAATCCCCCGTTTATAATTTCAGACATGCGTTATAAAGAACAATTATAATGCACATGAACCAACCTTTGATTGTTGAATTGATTTTCACATTGATAATCGTGTTTACTATTCTGAAGAACGTCTGGAGCACGAGGGTTATGAAGAAGTCAAATAATAATCAGAAGTCTAACTTATAATGGAATCAGTTTATGTCCCGTGAGACTCATTCTGCTGATATATGAACACTAATATGAGCTCAGTGTGTGTGTGTGTGTGTGTGTGTGTGTGTGTGTGTGTGTGTGTGTGTGTGTGTGAACACTGATTGTCAGCAGCTGATGGTCTGGATAATATGTGTGATTCATCAGAGAGATGTGAGTCTGATCTACATTAATAACGAAGCTCAAGCCTGGAGTGTGTGTGTGTGTGTGTGTGTGTGTGTGTGTTCAGAGTGTGTGCAGCTCTCGGACGCTCTGGCGCAGGCGTTTGGTGAAGACGTGTGGGACTCGGCCACAGTACGTGTGTTCAGCGCTCCTCAACTTCTGCTCCAGCGGGACGAGGAGACCGCGCTCGGGGTCTTCATCAAACACAAACTGAGGATACACACACACACACACACACACACACACACTCGTCAAACCGCGCTCGGGGTCTTCATCAAACACAAACTGAGGAATAAACACATGAACTGAATCAACAAAGAACTGAACAGAACTGAATCGACACTGAACTAAATCGACACTGAACTGAACTGAACTGAATCGACACTGAACTGAATCGACACTGAACTGAATCGACACTGAACTGAACTGAATCAACAAAGAACTGAACTGAATCAACAAAGAACTGAACTGAATAGACACTGAACTGAACTGATTCGACACTGAACTGAATTGAATCAACAAAGAACTGAATCAACAAAGAACTGAACTGAATCAACAAAGAACTGAACTGAATCGAATCGACACTGAACTGAATTGAACACTGAACTAAATCGACACTGACATGAACTGATTCTACACTGAACTGAATCGACACTGAACTGAACTGAATCGACACTGAACTAAACTGAATTGACACTGAACTGAATCAACAAATAACTGAACTGAACTGAATCAACAAAGAACTGAACTGAACTGAATCGAAACTGAACTGAATCAAGACTGAACTGAACTGAATCACCACTGAACTGAATCGACACTGAACTGAACTGAATCGACACTGAACTGAACTGAATCGACACTGAACTGAACTGAATCGACACTGAACTGAACTGAATCGACACTGAACTGAACTGAATCAACCGTGAGCTGAACATGAACGAGCTGTCAGTAAACACGAGCCGGTGTGTCAGGTGTTTGTCCTGTGTTCAGACCCAGAATGCAGTGTGTTTATGGAGGTGTGTGTTTCCAGTTTCCATGAGCTTTACTGCTCTACTGTGTGTATGAGGAGCGCCGACACTGAGAACATCTACTGTCTGACACACACACTACTCCTGCAGGGGCCAGAGGATCCACACCAGTGTGTGTGTGTGTGTGTGTGTGTGTGTGAGAAAGTATGCATGTGTGTGTTTGCGTGTGTGTGAGTGTGTGCGTCTTTGGGCTGTTGATCTGGACATGAACTCGCAGAAACGCATCAGAAACTGAATCATGAGCCGCCGCTAATGGATGCTCACATTAGCTAATGGTGTACGAGACTTCCTGTGATAGCAGCAACACTGACCATAATGACCACACACACACACACACACACACACACACACACACACGCACAGTTCTGTACTCTATCTATTATCTGTAGATTATTTCATGCCACACACACAATTTTCTAGTTGCATTCCCAACTGTGTGTGAAAAGACTCCACAAACCCTGCAGTGCACACACACACATCCTGATATTACACCGTCGACAGTTCGGGAACATCCCTGGCACCTGCAGCGCTCCAGACGAGGACACACACACACACACACACGGTCCAGACGAGGACACACACACACACAGATTGAGGAGTGCCAGCAAGCGCAAACAGAGAGAGTCCAAGAGGGAGAGTGTGTGTCGGGACCGTCTGAACACCTGAGCAGGTGTGATCCACACACACACACACACTCTCACATTAACAGCGGCTAATTACGTTTTATGGGTTACACAAATGTGCCTAATGAAATCAGCCCATCCGGATATTAAACTCTCGGCGGGAGACTAAAAACACACAAAATAATCAGGATAATATAAAGATGAACTGATAATGAAATATTAAACCTGTGGATCATAGCAGTTATTTAAACTTGTATTCATATTTTAAACTACTCTGATTACATGTTAATTTTAGCTAATATTTTAGTCATTTTGTTGTGCTTTTTCCCATTTCATATAAATGTTTATTATTTATTTTATTTTATTTTACCAGTCAAATGTTGGGAATACTTTAGATTTTTACATTATTAAAATAAAAAGATGCATTTATGTGATCAACAATACAGTAAAATACCACAATTTATAGAAAAATGTTAATATTTTTAAATGAAGTGTGATGGAAAAATACAGTAATCTGGTGTAATATTCCTCCAGTGTAAATCATGTTCTCTTTGTGAATATACAGTCAAGTGTCATTTATTCCTGAATTTATTATCATTACTCCAGTCTTCAGTGTCACATGACCCTCCAGAAATCACTCTAATATGAGGATCTGATGCTCAAGACACAGTTATGATTATGATCCGTGTTGAACACAGTTATGATTATGATCCGTGTTGAACACAGTTATGATTATGATCCGTGTTGAACACAGTTATGATTATGATCCGTGTTGAACACAGTTATGATTATGATCAGTTGTGTAAATCTGTGGTTTGGGGGTGTTGAGTGTTTTGAGGTATTCAGTAATTTAACATTAGACATGTGAGCGATGATAGGCTGATCATACCTGCTGGATGACGTCATAAACGGCTCTGAACGCCGGCTGCCGGTCGTCATGGTAAGCGCCGCGGTTGCCGTGGAGAATGTAAGCGCCGTGGCGTTCGGCGGGGGGGCAGTTGCTGCCGTAGATGCAGTGATCGGGCCGGTAGTTCCAGTGGCACGGGAAAACCAGTACAGTCTCTGTGGATCCGGAGAGAGGGATTCAGAGCGGGACACTGGGGTTCACACTGCATACTGGGAGACTATAACCACCTTAAAACTGGAGCTTACTGGGAAAGTATATACCGCCTTAAAACTGGAGCTTACTGGGAGAGTATAACCACCTTAAAACTGGAGCTTACTGGGAGAGTATATACCGCCTTAAAACTGGATCTTACTGGGAGAGTATAACCACCTTAAAACTGTATACTGGGAGAGTATATACTACCTTAAAACTGTATACTGGGAGAGTATATACTACCTTAAAACTGGAGCTTACTGGGAGAGTATAACCACCTTAAAACTGGAGCTTACTGGGAGAGTATAACCACCTTAAAACTGTATACTGGGAGAGTATATACTACCTTAAAACTGGAGCTTACTGGGAGAGTATAACCACCTTAAAACTGGAGCTTACTGGGAGAGTATATACCGCCTTAAAACTGTATACTGGGAGAGTATATACCACCTTAAAACTGGAGCTTACTGGGAGAGTATAACCACCTTAAAACTGTATACTGGGAGAGTATATACTACCTTAAAACTGGAGCTTACTGGGAAAGTATAACCATCTTAAAACTGGAGCTTACTGGGAGAGTATAACCACCTTAAAACTGTATACTAGGAGAGTATATACTACCTTAAAACTAGAGCTTATTGGGAGAGTATATACCACCTTAAAACTGTATACTGGGAGAGTATATACTACCTTAAAACTGGAGCTTACTGGGAGAGTATAACCACCTTAAAACTGGAGCTTACTGGGAGAGTATAACCACCTTAAAACTGTATACTGGGAGAGTATATACTACCTTAAAACTGGAGCTTACTGGGAGAGTATAACCACCTTAAAACTGGAGCTTACTGGGAGAGTATATACCGCCTTAAAACTGTATACTGGGAGAGTATATACCACCTTAAAACTGGAGCTTACTGGGAGAGTATAACCACCTTAAAACTGTATACTGGGAGAGTATATACTACCTTAAAACTGGAGCTTACTGGGAAAGTATAACCATCTTAAAACTGGAGCTTACTGGGAGAGTATAACCACCTTAAAACTGTATACTAGGAGAGTATATACTACCTTAAAACTAGAGCTTATTGGGAGAGTATATACCACCTTAAAACTGTATACTGGGAGAGTATATACTACCTTAAAACTGGAGCTTACTGGGAGAGTATAACCACCTTAAAACTGGAGCTTACTGGGAGAGTATAACCACCTTAAAACTGTATACTGGGAGAGTATATACTACCTTAAAACTGGAGCTTACTGGGAGAGTATAACCACCTTAAAACTGGAGCTTACTGGGAGAGTATATACCGCCTTAAAACTGTATACTGGGAGAGTATATACCACCTTAAAACTGGAGCTTACTGGGAGAGTATAACCACCTTAAAACTGTATACTGGGAGAGTATATACTACCTTAAAACTGGAGCTTACTGGGAAAGTATAACCATCTTAAAACTGGAGCTTACTGGGAGAGTATAACCACCTTAAAACTGTATACTAGGAGAGTATATACTACCTTAAAACTAGAGCTTATTGGGAGAGTATATACCACCTTAAAACTGTATACTGGGAGAGTATATACTACCTTAAAACTGGAGCTTACTGGGAGAGTATAACCACCTTAAAACTGGAGCTTACTGGGAGAGTATAACCACCTTAAAACTGTATACTGGGAGAGTATATACTACCTTAAAACTGGAGCTTACTGGGAGAGTATAACCACCTTAAAACTGGAGCTTACTGGGAGAGTATATACCGCCTTAAAACTGTATACTGGGAGAGTATATACCACCTTAAAACTGGAGCTTACTGGGAGAGTATAACCACCTTAAAACTGTATACTGGGAGAGTATATACTACCTTAAAACTGGAGCTTACTGGGAAAGTATAACCATCTTAAAACTGGAGCTTACTGGGAGAGTATAACCACCTTAAAACTGTATACTAGGAGAGTATATACTACCTTAAAACTAGAGCTTATTGGGAGAGTATATACCACCTTAAAACTGTATACTGGGAGTGTATATGCCGTTTTACAACTGTGTACTGGGAGTGTATTGTATTAATATGATGAAGTCAGTCTGCTACTGAGCATTAATAATAAAGTCAAACTGCATGACCTCAGTGAGTCATGAGCAGATAACCCTCAGAAATACACCCGGCTATTTCATGCACACAGAATGCCTGGTGCCTAGTGATGATGCAGTGATCATGTGACCTGTGTACCTGGTGATGATGCGGTGATCATGTGACCTGTACCTGGTGATGATGCGGTGATCATGTGACCTGTACCTGGTGATGATGCGGTGATCATGTGACCATGTACCTGGTGATGATCATGTGACCTGTACCTGGTGATGATGTGGTGATCATGTGACCTGTACCTGGGTTATAGTGGAATATGATGTTGAGCAGGTCTTGGTCTCCCCAGGTGATGTTGAGCTTGTATTTGTTGAGCAGCGGCATCAGTAGATCAGCCCACCTCAGACTCACCGCTGCTACATCATTCTGTGACACACACACACACACACACACACACAGAGTGAATGACTCTGCTTTTTCTCCTGTATTCATCAGTCCAGCAGATCAATCATCTGTGAGTATGTTTGTATATTAGTAATGACTCTTGCAGACAGATACATGAATGAATAAACCACTTCAGTAATGACACATCGTTCCCTACGAGCGACAGAAGAGCGACAGCGCCATCTGCTGGAGACGCCCCCCCACACACACACGTTTATCAACATGGAGCTGACCTTGAAGAGCGTGTGTCTGATGCGTGTCATGTTCATGAGCATGACGCCGGAGTTGAGGCCGGTGTGGCCGTGGTACGGGTGGCGGGAGAAGCGGTTGTACCAGCCGATGCGCGGCTCCTCGTGTTCGGGGGCCATCGCCGCCACATGGGTCCCGTTGAACTCCGCCAGGAGCCGCCACACGTCCTCCACCGCGCGCAGGAACAGCACATCCGTGTCCACGTACAGCACAGAGTCCACATGCTGCAGGATCAGCTGAGGAAAAAAAAAGAATATATATATATATATCCAGAGCGACGGCACACGTCAGACGGCAGCCTGCGGCATCAAGCTCACTTCGGCTGAAGACACATATGAAAATACATTTATCAAGGAAGTAAGAGTAGAGTTTATTCCTGTTAAAGTGTGTGTGTGTGTGTGTGAGCTGGTTCAGGCACTCACAGGGATGAAGAGTCTCTGAGCAGCGCAGGGCTTGAAGAGCCGCTTCCACTCTCTGGCGTTCTCACTGGGGAAACTGATGGGATACACACTGTAGAGGAACCTGGAGCCAAACCTGCGGGGCCACGACTCCAGCTGCAACACACACACACACAAGTGTTAATCCCCAACCCTGCGCATGCCGATGTAGAGTGTGTGTGGCGGCAGTGGAGCTCACGGCGTGTGTGAAGCCGGCATGCAGCTCGTCCTCTGCGAAGATGTGGAAGTGCAGATCTCTGCGGCTGAAGAGCACGGCGGACTTCAGCATCGTCAGCGTCTCCTCCAGACGAGGCCCACAGGCCACCACCGCCAGCCCCACCGGGTCCCCACCCCACCTGCACAGGCCAGAGGTCAGAGGTCAGCACGGCTGGGAATGATGTCCGTTCACATGGAGCTGGTTCTACAAACCCCGTCCAGCTCCACACACTGTGAACAGAGCTGAACTCTGACCCATGAAGAGCGTACCTAGGAGCCGTGTCCGTTCGGCAGGGTCTTCGGCACACCGGAGCCGGGAGTGTCCCGTACGGCGTCCAGCGAGAGACCGGGTCCGAGTTACACCTGACGGCACACACACACACACACACACACAGCCTCTTCATGAACACCTTCAGCTCAGGATCAGCAGGGATTCAGTCAGAGACACACTCGAAGAAATATAGAAATATAAGAAATATAGAAATATAATATTAGAAATATACTGAGTAAAAGAATTCATATCTATTTATTTATAAATTAATAAAATACAACAGTATATCAAAATACATTTTTTCACCATTTTGTTTGGTTGTTTTTTAAATGTAGTACTTTGAGATTTTGCTTAAATATAAAGTGTGTTGCAAGTCAAATGTATTATTATTATTATTATTATTATATTAATTAAACTAAAATAAATAAATAGATTATAAAAATAGATAAGCATAAGTAAACAACTAAAATTTGATTAAAAAATAGATTATAAATAAATCTAAGTAGTACTAGATATTTAAAAAAAACATGTAACTTAGTAGAAACTAAATATTTTACAAATAATTTTCTAAATTGGTACAATTCTTAAAAGTAGTATTGTGTCTTTGTCATAGACTGTAAACAATAGGTCTTTATACATAAATATATAGCTGCTTTTTCACGATGATGATCATATTTGGATCTACAAATTTAAAACCGCACTACTAACAACACAAATAAAGTCTAAACACCAGTGAATACACCATAGATAATAATGATTTGATAATAATAAAATGTGAACCTGTCTTTAAGATTGACCCGATTCCTGAATATTAATTACGTAACGTGACGTTCACCCTGTAGGCGTCGCTGATTGGCTGATAGACAGACCGGTAGGCGGGCGTTAACCAGCGGGCGAATTAACGACTACTACTATGAATGAAGGTTATGAATATTAATTAGATATTAGCCGATGTTAATCAAGAAACATCACTGTGACCAAATTAATATCCATTAGTACACAATAAAGGCCTGTTCACACCGGGACGAATTTCGCGCGCGTTATTCGTCGACGTTTAACGCCTCGTGACTAAACAATGGGCGCCAATGTGAGTGTTCACACCGACGCGAAAAACGCCACGCGTAAAAGCGTCATTTTTAAAAAAACGCCTCGGGTTCGTTTTTTTGGTTTGACGCGCCGCGTCAAAACCTATCCGACCAACGAGATCGGCGGGTTTGCTCACGTGTCTGGTACTTCTGAAGTTACAGTAAAACACAACTTGAGGGCGCTCAAACACAAAACGGTCTTGCCGAGCACACATACGGCGAAGAAGAGACAAGATACCTACTGTATGGGCAAGATGAATGTTGAGCTGCTGGTCTCGGAGCACAAAGAGCTATAAGATAATATTTATATTAGTATTTCTGTAATAATAGTATAGTATAGGGTGACCAACAGTCCTGTTTTCCCGGGACATATGTAAAACGGTCACTTTGTGCTTTATAGAAATCTGAGTTGAGATGAGAACTGCGCATAGTGTGCATAATGTCAGTTAGATTTTGACAAGTGAGGAGAGGAGATAACCGCTGTGCCGACTCTTTGTATTCTTTCTTTTATTTTATTTTTCTATTGTGACCAGATGCTTGTTTGTTTGTTTTCTCTCGCTCGATCCCCGTGTATGAGGAGGACGAGTGTGACGTTTGAGTGGTTTTATTAAACGCGGGGAAATACGACAACTCTCGTCTCTCGTGCATCTGTTCATCTGACAACTGCTATGTTTTTATCTCTGGGCAACATCTCAACTTTGCGTTACACATGTCCTGTTTCCACGTCCTGTCCTGACTGTTTTTAAGTGATGAAAATGTCCTGGTTTTCAAACAAAAACTGCTGGGAAAGATCAGTTCTACAGGAAAATATAGATGGGCAAACAAGGTGGATGAGGAAGAAAAGCAAGATAAAGAAAATGAAAACTAAAGATATAAATAGATTTTGTTAGTTCGTTTTTGTAAGTTTGTGAGAGCTATTTTTTGTTACATTTGGAGGCATTTTTTAGTTATTTATTATTTATATATTTATTTTTCTATATTTATTATTTGTCTTACAGAAGACATTATTTCTATCATTATTTCATTCGTTTTTTTTCTATCTCTCAAAATAAAACATTGAGACATGAATATGATCACCCTAGTATAGTATTCTATTATTATTTCTGTTTTACATTAAGCGCCATCTAATGTCAGGGAATGAATTTGCATGTTCACTCGGCTCATCGTCAGCGAAAAACGCTTGGGTGTGAACACAAAAAACGCGTTGAAAAACGCTGACGAATAACGCGCGCTGATATTCGTCCCGGTGTGTACGGGCCTTAAGGCTAAATAACCAGAAAATCCATCCCAAATAACTATTGAAATTGAAAAACACCGTGAAATAAGCACTAGCCGCACTATATTACTCTTAAAGGCTGCTTTTGTTAAGAATTATCTTATTTATAACGACTGCCTAGTCATTTTAAGCTTTATTCTGTGTTGTCGTGGAGTAGTTAGTGCAGTAAATGTGTGTAGTGTTGTTGTGAGGTTGATTTTGAACATCGAGTGTGGTTTTGTTTACATACATGTCATCGTGCGCGCGTGTCCGCTGCGCTCGCGCCTGTTGATTCGCGCTCTCCAGTGACGACACCGGCTGATTAGATATGTAGAGCCCTGAGAAGAAGACTAATGGCGTGCAGACGAACAACACACGAAGATACTGCAGCATTTTGCAACTAAAAGAGCAGCCATGGAGATATAAATCAGGCTGCTCGGTTCAGCGCCCTCGACTAGCCTACTATGGCGGAGGCGTGCTCATTAATATTATGAGGTGCTTCGAAAACTTCCTGGATCATTCAGTCACGTGACCACGTTTTGTCGGCTCTGATTGAAGGGTTGAGGAGCCGACCAATGAAAAGTTCCCAGCATGCTCCTCTGATGAATATGATTAAAAACCTCACTAACTCTGCATTATATGTTCATATATACACACTACTATCATTAGATGTAGATAAACTAATGTATATTACTTATATATGACAATATGCATCAAATATTAAAGGAAAAGCAGAGACTTCAGTTTGTCACCAGCGCACAGAAAGCCTGTAGCTCGAATGAGATCAAATCCATGACGACACACTCACTGATCCTTCTGGTTCTTACAATGTGATGACTGGTCTGATCACACTTGTGTGTGAAATGTGCATCCGTTGTTACGACTTAGCACATTGACCTTCTGACCACAGAATCAGAAGATATAAACTGATTAGTTGTTAGAAAAAGTGAGAATATAAAATTTAATAAAAAATTTATATTAAAAAGTAGAAAATTAACAATTGTATTGTTAGCAGATACTTCGAAATTTGTAAGGGTTGAAACGAATAATAATATAACAGTAATATAAAACACTTCACATTAAGTTTTATATACCTCAACGTTTTCTCTCTTCAAAAACTTTATTTCCTTCGTTGATATTTCTTCTCTCTCTCGCCAATTTAACCAAGCGTTAACTTCTCTCTTTCTTTCTCTCTCTCTCTCTTAAGCCTAGTTCACACTACGTGATTTTAAGCCCGATTTAAGCCCGATTTGCAAATCGTTGAGTCGCCGACAAGTCAGGGTGTTATCGCGTGCAAATCGCGGGCGATTAGCGGACGATTAACGCTCGCCAATCAGTTAGTGTGAAAGAGCCAACAACGCATCAAAGACAGCTCGCAGACAGCTCGCAGACAGGTCACCGAGCTCAGAAAAATATCTAGCATGCTAGATATCTCGCCCAGTCGCGCGACTCAATCTCAGTGATGTCATGAGTACAGCCAATCATAGCAACGCATGGGTTGAGGACACCAGGTAAATCTTACTTTTTCTTTTTTGCATTTTTTTTTTCTCAGAGCAGATCGTTGAGCAAACAGTGTGCAGCACTAGTTTCTGTCTGACGTCCATATTCGCGTGTTGTGTTCTTCTCTGCAGTTTCGCGTCATTTCTGGTTCGTTTTATTGCGTGGTTTTTCGTTACAAAACATGGTTTCTAGACCAGATAGAATCGTGTTGTTGTCAACTCGTTATTTGTTTGATTATTTTCAGGATTTAGACCGTATTATAGTACTGAAACAGCTCTCATTGAGTCACAAATGATATGCTCTTATCATCCGATCGTGGTTGTATCTCTATGTAGTGCGTTGTTAACTCGTGTAGTGAGTTACCTCCTGTTGTGGATCAATCACGTTGTGTTGTGTGGTGTGAACAGCTAAACAACTTGAACACTCATGATTTCACTGCGAGCAAGTCATGTAGTGTGAACTGCACAGTTCAGCCCGACATTTTAAAATCATGTAGTGTGAACTAGGCTTTAAAACCAACACAGAAGTGAATTAAACTGCAGTTCATCAACTGGCCGCTTGAGGCTGGCTGCAAAAGTGAGTTAGATCTGCATCTCCCACATGTTAAGATGCCCAACTTCACAGCAGAAGAAAACATGTTCACAGCCTGGAGCAAAAACTGGTTTTGGTCTTTATAGTTTATTTTGCCCTTCATGACGACTGTGAGGGGGGTGAATTTTTTTATAACTCATTCGTTTAAATTATATTAAGCCTTAAAGTTCTGCATAATTAAGGGCGTGGCCACTTGATTGAGAGGTGGATTGCGGCTGCTGTCGCTGCTAGCCGTTTGTCAGTTAGCGGTCAGTCACTTTACCTCAGCTAATCCCCGCTGCTGTACTTGAAATCTCTGCTGTGTTTGTGCTTTTTCCCGGGATTATTTCAAACAATTTAATACACACGTCAGTAATATCAGAATTTAATATTGACTGAATATTAATAAAGCTTAGTTTCTACAGACTTGACGTGCGATGCGCCGCTGACTGACATGTATGCACATGAATCACACACACACACACACACACACACACACACACACACACACACACACACACACGCTGGCTCACATCAATATTGTAAATTACTGCATGAAAATAAAATTTTAACTACCATAATAATAATACATCACGATACACAATCACACTTTAGCTACGTCTTTTAACTAGTATAGTATTTAGAAGGGCAAAAACGTGAACTATTGGCTTTACTTCTCAAGTCAGCTGTCAGCGCGAGGCCAGTAGCATTAGCATTAGCTTCTTTTGCCGGGGCTAACTCGATCGCGTAGAGCTAGGGGGCGTGGTCTCAGCTCCACCCAATCCCCGCCTCTTTGGCCATTCTCAGTTATCCGGGAGTGACGCGCTGCCGAGATGTCGACGCCGGCCCCGCCCACTTTAGGCTTCAAAAACGCTCTCCAGAAACCCACGGGTGACGTCACGGACACCAGGTCCATATTAGTTTACAGCCTATGGATTCAACGCAAGAAAGAAAATGATAGCTAGCTATGGTTAGCATGTACGGTGAGCGGCAAGGGACACAATGGGTTTAACATGCAATCAAACCTGTGTGACCATAGAAAGCCTTATCAGAAATGTATATTATTATATATTAATAATTCTTTTATTTTGAATTAAGAATGTTTCAGCAGAGAGAAAAAGCCCTATAAATTTACAAAAATATAAGATGAGAGAAAATATTCTTTATTAAACCTGCTATTTTTATGGACTGATAAAGAATAAGTATTGGTATTGTTGGTATATTTTCAACTTATAATAAATGAAATCAATCATCAAGATGAAGAGTTTAGTGAACAATTTTGTGCAGTGAAGGGTTGAGGAGCCGACCAATGAAAAGTTCCCAGCATGCTCCTCTCATGAATATGATTAAAAACTCGCTAACTCTGCATTATATGTTCATATATACACACTACTATCATTACATGTAGAGAAACTAATGTATATTACTTATATATGACAATATGCATCAAATATTAAAGGAAAAGCAGAGACTTCAGTTTGTAACCAGCGCACAGAAAGCCTGTAGCTCGAATGAGATCAAATCCATGACGACACACTCATTGATCCTTCTGGTTCTTACAATGTGATGACTGGTCTGATCACACTTGTGTGTGAAATGTGCATCCGTTGTTACGACTTAGCACATCGACCTTCTGACCACAGAATCAGCAAGTATAAATACTAATCTTTGGTGATTGAAAATAGTGAGAGTGTAAAATTAATTAATCAGACCAATAAGAGACTTTTAAATACAACTCTTCTATTATACAAACGTGTCATGAAATGTGTTCAAAGGCAGATATAAAGAAGGCAGCCCATAAAGACTTTCCAGGTCTGGGAAACAGGGCTCAAGTCTCGAGTCACTGATGTCAAAGTCGAGTCTCAAGTCATCTTTGATTAAAAAGAGTCGAGTCACAAGTCATCAAATTTGGGACTCGAATTCAAGTCAAAAGTCGTGCGACACAAGTTCTCAATGAGACGTGTAACGAAGCTTTGTTTACTGAATCACCGACACACACACACACACACACACACACACACACACACACACACACACACACACACACACACAGAGAGAAAGAGCGAGAGAGAGATAATTCCTTACATTTTCTTTCTGTGATTGAAGAGAAGTGCACGAAAAATTAAGTTAAAATGTCCGTCTTGATGAGTTTCCTGGTAAACACAGTCACATCCAGCACAGCTCATTTAGTGGAAGATTAGTGATGCTTCTGGCAACGGAAGAAAATCAACTTTTTGATGCTTTGAATCAATTGAGTCATTTGCTTAATGAACGGATTCAGTGATTCTCAGCGCCACTCTGGCGACACCTGCTGGTCAGATCAGTGTAATTACATGCAGGAAAACACCGTTTACAAACAACTGCTAATGTTTAATAGAAGCTGTAATCGATTTAAATGCAATTAATTTGGTCTATCTTTATAATATGTGCTATTTTATTAAATTGTAGTGTTTGTTTCACTCTTTTTATTGACAGTTTTATTAATCAGACCAATAATGGACTTTTAAATACAACTTGTGTCACGAAATGTGTACAAATTAATTCAACTGATCTGTAGCAGTCTAAACTTTGTCGTAATTGTTTCAGTTTGAGAGTCTGATATGTGAAACAGTCAAATGCAAATTAATTAATAAAGAATGAATGAAAAGGACACAAGGAAAGAGTAGCGATGAATCTATTGTAGATATTTATTGGTTGATTTCAAACATCCTCATTCACTGTTGACTTTTTAAAGATCGCACAGTTTGGGCGAATATAGATGTACATTTATTTGGAGTGCACTCTCTTAACATCGACATCAGCTGGAAAACTATGATTATTACTTTATTTTTACTTTACATACAGTATACACAACAAAAGAGGCAATGAAAAAGGAATGCCAATAGAATTTCACAAGACAAAAAGAGAATTCAAACTCCAGAGAAACTTGTTCATTTACAAAGACTGTTTACAAGCAAACAGAACCAAACAAGGAGAATAGTTTGATTGAACATACAGAGCTCATTAAAAAATAAAGTGAATACATTAAAAATATAATTTTTGAAATACTTTGGAAACTTCAGTATTTAATCACATATTTACATTTTCCTCCCTATCTTCTGCAAATGAAAATCTTTGTATGAAACACAGTCCTAAAACCATAATCTCAGAGTAAAATCTCAGAATATATAGGCATATATGCTTTACTGTAAAAATAATTGATTAGAAAAAGAAAAAAATGCTGCAGTGCAAAACTGTTAATTGGTACATTAGGGTTTTATGTTACATTTGATGTTGTTAAATTAATGTTTAATGCATTTTTTTTATTTCATGTGTTATCATTATGTTTAATGTTTGTGTGAATCAGACTTTATGTAAGCATGCTTTCTATAATTCACGACACTTTCTGTGTGATTTTTGAAGATTTCAGTTTAAAGAGTATCAGTACAAGCGTCATCATTTTATCGGATCTGTAACTCTCTGTTAATCTCGTCTCTGGCACTCTTGATGTCATCCAGAGTCTCCTGTAATTGAGCCGCTGTTTCTTTCATCTGATGAATAAACTTCAAAGTTTCTGATTTAATGTTTTCTACTTTTCTGCTGTTTTCTGGCTGATTTATTTCAGAGAGCTCGATCGAATCACAAACAATACTGTAAATATCAAGAGCAAGAAACAGAGTTGAGATCACGCCAGTTACTTTTCCAACCTTCTTAGCGGCGGTTTTCCCAATCTGAGCAGTTCGCAGGATCGCTAGAAGTTTAGTGACGCTCGAAGCGGTTTTCACGGATCTTACACCTGTCATTATTGCCTTCTTTTGCACAGAAAACTCTTTCCCTACGTTCTGAATCTCTACTGCGGTTTCAGAAATTTTATTCAGATTCTCGATCATTGGCTGGATTGTGTTCTGGAAATCTGTGATGGTATTTTTAATAGTTTCACGCAGGTTTCCTTGCTTGACCATGTTAATGATGTTCGCTGTTGCACCTGTTATTCCTCCAGCGACTCCGGCTGCAACACCAACAGCAGACACAGCTAAAGGAATACCAAATGAGAAAAATGATAAACCCAGACCCACTAGTGCCGTGACTCCTCCAGCCACTCCTGCTGATGATCCAATCAAACTCCACATCGTAGTGGAACTGTGGCAGGATTCAAGATCAGCAGTGATGTCCTTCAGCTTCTTTATTTTCTTCTGCAGTGTTGAATGTTTTTCGTCAAAATCAGAGTTCAGTTTCTTAATGCTTCCTTGCAGTTCATCATTAAGAGCTTCGAGTTTCCTGAAACATCAAAACTTATTTTTAGAAGTAGACCCCTAAGCTAAAAATGTGTACCATAAGGGATCCATTGTTAATATTAGTTAAAGGAGCAGTTCACTTAAAAAAAAAAAAACTTTAGCTGATAATTTACTCGCCCCCGTGTCATCCAAGATGTCCATGTCTTTCTTTCTTCAGTCGAAAAGAAATGAAGGTTTTTGATGAAAACATTCCAGGATTTTCTCCATATAATGGACTTCAATGGGGTCCAAACGGTTCAAGGTCCAAATGAGGTCCAAACGGTTCAAGGTTTCACTGCAGCTTCAAAGGGCTTTAAACGATTCCAGACGATGAATAAGGGTCTTATCAAGCGAAACGATCGCTCATTTAATAAATAAATAACAAAGTTTAAGTTTTATAAGCACAAACGCTCACCTTGCTCTGTTCGAAAATTAACAAATCTTTTTTTCGAGTTCATTTTTTTCATTGAATGAATCAAATGACTCGAAAAAAGATTTGTTCATTTTGATGAACGAGTTCGAACAGGAGAATCACGAACGCGCATCACAGAACAGAGCAAGGCGAGCAATTGAGCTTATAAAACTTAAACTTTGTTATTTATTTATTAAATGGCAGCTCGTTTCGCTTGATAAGACCCTTATTCATCGTCTGGAATCGTTTAAAGCCCTTTGAACAGTTTGCACTGAAACTGTCTTTTGGATCTTGAACCGTTTGGTCCCCATTGAAGTCCATTATATGGAGAAAATCCTGGAATGTTTTCATCAAAAACCTTCATTTCTTTTCGACTGAAGAAAGAAAGACATGGACATCTTGGATGACACGGGGGCGAGTAAATTATCAGCAAAAGTGTTTTCAAAAGTGAACTACTCTTTTAACCCATTTGCTGTGAGACTGTGTTCCAGTATTTCCCATTTAATCATTGCATGAGCGCCCTCTACTGCCATTCAGCCTTCGCTGGGAGTTTGATTGACAGGTAATCTGACCAATCAAAATCCGTCATCCGCGGATGGACTGTAATATTATTTTTCTCATGCACCGTTATAGGTCTACATGCATACTTGACGGTGGATAAAAAATAAACGTAAAAAAATAATTACAAACAAAACGACAATTTTATTTTTAAACAGTTTAAACAAATATTAATTGTTTAGTTGTTCATTTAATAAATGTATTTTCTTTCAAATATAGTCATTAGGTACACAATTTATTTTGAATAATATTAAAAATATTAAGTTTAATCAAATCCTGTAATAACTATTATTCATAGTTTAAGTTAGAGCTAATGTAGTTAACTAATGTTACCACATGAAACCTGGTACACAATCCATTAATTGTAAAGTTAATAAAGATCAAATCAAAGCTTTGAACAATAAATACTCACTGCAATGACATGGATGTCTCGTCTGGCTGATTCATTTCACCTGCGAACATTAAGCGTTTCAAGAGGTTATGCTGGAATCATAATGAAAAACTAACAATACACAGTGCTTTATTTTCACCTCTCTCTCTCTCTCTCTCTCTCTCTCTATATATATATATATATAATCCAAAACTTTTGGACTTGGACAAGTCTATAGCGCTTTTCAAAATAAAAAACAAAATGTCTTCAATAATTCAATGTCTCAGCGAACAATAAAACTCAACAATGTTAGAAAAGGATTTTAAATGAAATTGTTCAAATCTGATGCAAATGCAAATACACCAGCCATCAGCTGTTTATTGGACACTTTGTTTGTAGCTTTTTTCTTCTTTTTTTCTCCACAAAAAAGTCTTGTGAAATATTTAGCATGTGTTTTTGGCCAGCGTCTTAAAACATATTTTGCTCACACATTATTGGAGCATCTCCAGGATCCCACAAATTAGGGTTTTGAGTCGCATATTTCAGCTTCAACAAAATTAGTTTCTGGAGTCCTTCATATTATAAATAATTCAAATCAAACTCACCTCAAATCTTTCTGGGCAGATTATAAGGATGAACAGAAGATTTCCACAGTTTCCTGCCTGAGACAAAATCATTGGTAAACATTTTTCAAAAATAACAACAAGTGCAATGTAGAATTTAGACAAATAATATATAATCATCCACAATTGGAGACACAAACTGACCGGATATAGAGAATATGAATATTGCTGGAGCGAGTGAAGATAAACTGTGCTCTTCTCCCTCCTGGCTTCATTTAAATAAGAGGATACAGGGAACATGGCACTTTCACATCTCTAAAATAACAGTATCATTTCCATCTTTACGGGTGGGCACTGTTTTCTTTCTCTTTCACTCAACCAATGTTTTCCTAGAAATGTAGCTATTTCCCACACATTCAGCGTGTCCTCGCTTGTTACGAGCATTGCATATAATAGGCAGTGGGGGAACCACCAAGTTCTTCAATTACTGCCCCCAAATTTTGCCCCGGCTCTACGTTTCATGTACAGAAATTTGGTACATACATGTAATGACACAATACCTACAAAAAAGTCTCTTGGAGCATAGGAGACCTGAGTTAGGGATGCCTCCTCTCACCATCGGTGCTCGGGCCCTAATAGAGTAAGCTGAAGCCTTAAAAATGTACATTTAGTCAACTGACAACTCAGATATTTGAGTTGACTAAACTTACAATTTTAAGGCAGCATGAACGCTTTAAGTTGAAATAAAAAAAAACAACATTATAATTTAAAAATATTAGTATATTGAGTAATCATAACTGAGATAATGTCAAAGAAAACTGAAAAGGATGATATTACTTTACTGAAAGGACAAAGAGAAAATGCTCACATATTATTTATTAACTGTAGAAGTCCATAGATTAAATAAAATAACAAAATAAAATTGTGCAAAGATTGAGTCCAGGGCACTTCTTCATCATCATCATCATCATCTTCAATGAAATGTCTTTCTGTGAGAGAAGCAGAAGTTTGTTTGCCAGTCTAATGGTGCTTTTAATTATGTAAATGATCAATAATTAAAGGTATTTTACACTCATCATGATAAAGTTTCTATTTATACTCCCACAAAATGATGCACAACATTTTATTTTTTTTCCTACAAAACCACTGATGGAGAAAACAAGCATTTGTGGACTTGCAGAAACTGACCTATGGACACCGGCACCAGCGACACCTGGAAATCAGGAGATACGTGCACACGTGCCACGGTAATGTTATAGGGTCCTGGAATGAAAAGGTGCGTTAGTGTAGGACTATTATAATAAATAAATAAATACGAGTGTAGATAATGCATAGGCTATTGGTTAATTCTGGCACACTGTCCATTTAATTATGTATCATTACTAATGTGCATTGTCCCTGTTAAATGAACCTGAAATAAATCAAATAATTACTTCCTCGGCGCACAGCAAGAATATGATCCTCGTGTTTAATGCCGTAGAAACCCAGTGTGCGACTCTTCTTCAGTGTCTTGGCATCAGAGTTGACCAGTACTGTGTTTTCCACTGTGAACACACATTTATTTATTTATTTACACATAAATACATATACACATAAATAAATGTGAAAATAAATAAAAGCATTAATAAATAAATGAAAAAAATAAATAAATGTGGAATACAATTATTCATAAATAAGGAAATGTTAGACTGAATGTTGTTTTTTTCTATTAACCGTTTATTCATTTTTTTAATGTAGCTCCATATTTAATTTTCCTTGACCACATGCTAATGTGAGGCTGTAAGCAATCATAATAGATCAGAGATCATCTATATATAATAAAGCAAGTATATAATAAAGCAAGTATATCCCTTTGCTCTGAACTTCGAGCGTTATAACTTTGTTGTTTATTTTCAAACAGTGACATATATACGCAAACTACAGTTAGAAAAGTGAAATCTCAATCAATCACCATTTTAAATCTCAGGCTTCTCCGTTAATAAGAAATTCATTCGAATACAGGTTTTCTTCATTAACTAAATATCCTATAAATTTCCATTCCCACATTCCCACAGAAGATGCAGAGCTGGACTTACGCTGGTCTCCAGGAATGAGTTTTCTCTTTAACTCCTCCACTGTGGTGTTCCTGAACTCCTCTCCTGAATTCGACACACAAACTCTTATTCTCTGCAGTCCCTGTATCATATCTTCATTTGTAAAGTAGATGTGGAAACTCATGTTGACTTGAACTAAATTACCGCAGGTTGTAGAAATAACTGAAGCGCGCTGTGGAGACTGGAGGCTTGTGACGTCGAAGGGCAGCCGCAGACTATGGAAGGCCAACAGGGCCAAAACGTGTGAACGTAATTACGCATTAACACAAAATGTAAAGAATTAACACGTAATTTACGTTATTCACGCGTTAACGCGTAAAATACTGGTTTTAGCGCCTATAATATATGTGAGCATTTTAGACCATTATCACAATATAAATTAATCTATTTATAATTTAACCACTATGGATGCTATGCTAGAGAGCCCCTTCTGGCACCCTTAATGCTTTGCAGTGCTTTTAAGTTAAAAATAAATAAATAATAATAATAATAAATACTAATACAAAATATATACACACATATATATTACTTTAGACAAATAAACACTTTAAACAAACAAAATAAACAGCTTATGTGTGTGTGTGTGTGTGTGTGTCAGTGTAATGTAATATATATACATATATATATATATATATATATATAACACACACACTTATAAATAAATTAATAAATAAATAAACAGCTTATATATATATATATATATATATATATATATATATATATATAACTGTTTATTTATTTAAAATAACAATAATAACAATAATAACATAATATTACCCAAGGGAAAAGAAATCAAATATTAGAGCATTGAGCAGGGAACATCAATCGAAATAAACTCTTTAAGAAAGAAGGAACTTTAAGAAACACATTGTCTTGTCCATGGGCTGTACAAAAATGTTTTAATGACTTTAAGCATAGTAAATCCTGCAAAGTTTTTTTATATTGGTTAATTTAAAAAAAAAGTGTAAATATAACACTATAGGCCTACTTTGTATTACATCACCATTGCATCAAAAACAAAATAAACAAAAAAAAACTATTTGACGCTGTTTATAATACTGTGGCTTTGGTGACGGTAAAATTGGCATCTGTCTGTCTTCTGACTGCCGTAATATTTCTCTCCATTTTTCTCGTCCTTGGCAAGTTGTTTTTTTTTTTGTTTTTTGTTTTTTCCCTTGGCAAGTGAGAAGCACCACTTGTGGCAAGTTGTGAAAACGAAGGAAATGTTGACGTGACGAGTGGAACTCCTGGTCATGACGTCATGACACGACTCAGGCTCTAGATGGCGCCAAACCCTGTTCTGTTCGCCTCTGGCAGCTTGCCGGACTTTGGGGTTCCAGACCCTGGGAAAAGAGCAGCTTTACCCTTATAAGGCCGCAATCCATCCGCTCCAGACTTTCCCTCCCCGCCCTCCCTTCCTCTCTCTCCCTCAGGCCGCGGGGATATTTACAGCAAGACTGGCTCTGCGTACCTTATTAGGAGCTGTCCTTGTTGTCAGTGTATATGTAGATGAGACAAACAGATGAGAGGATGGCATTCATTCTCAAGGGTCATTCAGTGTTTTACCAAAGGTAAATGTCTGATCCGTGCAGCACTCGTCTAAAGTTCATCTGAACGTGTTCTCACCCTCATAGTTCTCCGTTATCCTCTTATTGTTCTCCGACTTTCTAAGCGAGATCTGAAGAAGTTGAGGCCAATGAATAACTTTGCCTTTCGCTCTCACACTGTCCAGTGTTACTGTAACTTCCTGTCCGTCTCTCTGTGGGAATGTTAGATCTATTATTCCAGCTGTTCTTCTCTCTCTCTCTGATGATGATGATGAGGGACATCTGGTAGACAGGCACACAGGCATTAGGGAGAACTGAATGATGAGAAGGACAGAAAGACTGACAACTTAAAGGCAGGGAGGGCGATGTGTTCAAGAAACATTTTTTGTTATGCTTGTTGAAAGTCTCTTCACATCCTGATAGATGCATCGTCTGTGGAAAGCATAGGAACAAAAAAAATGTTCGTCCAATCATTGCATTCGGTCCGAAAGCAATGATAGGATGTCCTGCCTGTCAGCATGTATTATCATACCTACACACATCGACATCACAAACAGCGCCTCTTACAAACCAAAACAATGAGCTTAGATGGAAACCTGACACGTTATTTTCAGAGCAGATCGTGACTCAAATGTATGCATTTCAAAGGCAACACTATTAACGGCGTAATTAACCTGCAGGCGATTCAGGTCAGAACTCGTTAAGTCGTTTATGTTCATTGTTATTGAAATATTATGTGCTGTGAGCCATGAGGTAAGTTTAACCACCGTCTCTCGTTGTTTCGTCGGAGGTGTTTGTTTGGATGCGCTCTGAAGGAAGGGTGGGATCTTATGCTAAAGCTAACTCGCTAGCGCTAGCCGCTGCGAAAATAATAACTACTACTAAAAATTAACTTTTGAATGATGGGCTGAATTGATTCTTCTCATCAAACTTTCGAATGTGGATATTTGACACACAACAAAGCTGAACTAGACCTTCAAATACAACTTTTGGATGTCCACATGATACTGAACTAAAGTTTGAATGAACCACGCAGGCTAGTCAAATATTGCAATACACTCACTCATTATAAAATGTTCAAATAACACCACAAAAATTTTGAATTGGAAACTTCCTAGACATATGGTCAAAAATGCTAAATCAAATGTTTAAATATAATGTTCAGTATAAACTTTTGAACACGTTTTATGGCCTAAAAAGCTGAACGGAAATTTCAAAACAAACGTGCTTATTAGCCTACGAATAATTTGAATCGAAGTTCGAACACAGATATGATGCCCAAAATTGAGGAGTTGAAACTTAAAATCAAAAGTAGGCAAGTGTGTCGGTCAATAACTGTCAAATATCCAACCAAATCGAGTGTGATTCACCTATGATGAAATCAAACATAACTAATAATTCTGAATAATCGAATGTTTGCAAACAGCTTCATTATGACGCCTACCAATGCTGTTCAAGATGATGTTGAAACAGTTCGAACAATAAAGCACAGCAGAGAAACACCTCAATAAACAGGCACTACAGTACAAACAGATATTTTATTAAGTGCCAACAGTCATTTCATATATTAGAAAAACAACACGTGGAGAAAACAGAGCGGATACCAAGTTACAGTTTATAGAATTATGAGTTCAAATGCGTAATATTTGTACATTTACACAATAAACAAAAGCCCTCGACGACAGGAGCATGGATGGATCGGATGAGGGTAAAAAATACGAAAAGACATTTCCGCATCACTCGCCACACGTGTCGCTTGTAAAAAAAGATGCATAGCATAACTAGCTGCGAAACAACAGCCCGGCGTGTTTTCGGCAAGCATGAAAATCTGCACCGATGTCAGCGGATGATTGTCGAGCTGGCGTATTCAGAACACCTTTAGTGGAGTTAGAACCTCTCAATCGTGTGTGTGTGTGTGTGTGTGTGTTTGTGCAAAGATGCAAAAATACTGCAGACTTCAGCTGCCTGAGACTCGTGGAATGTGTGTGTGGAGTGTGTGCGCTCACGCTTATGGGAATGTGGTGCACGAGTGCGAGTGTGTGAGAGAGAAAGACAGCTCGGTTGCATCTCCTCCTCGCTTGTTGGCCTCCTGAGAACATGGATGAAACACACACACACACACACACACACGCACGCACACAGTCCTGCAGGAAGGTAAAAGATCCCGTCATGAAAGAGGGACATTCCTCTCTCTCGTTCCTCTCCTCCTCTTTTCCCTTCTTTGGCTCTCGGGAAGGATGTTGGTGTGTGTGTGTGGGGTGTGTGTGTTAGTTTCTCTTTCTCTCTCTCGCTCTATTTGGAGAGTTTGCTGATGACTCTGATGAGCGCGCCGTTCTCGTCCTTCAGCCTCTGGTTGTCCGCTCTCAGATCTCCTAAAACCTGCAGACGCACACCACAGCTTTACATCTTTACCTCTGGAAGACCGGCTCACACTGATATGATGTCAGTTCTCATCATTTACTCACACTCATGTCCATATAAACACACTTGACCATATTTCCTCCAGGGAACAAAAAAAAGGAGAAGTTTTGAATAATGTTCAAGCAGCCGTTTTCCAAATAATGAAAGTATGCTGTGACCAGGGGCTCTCAAAGTAGTCCATACAACATATATTTTTTAATATTACTATATTATTTTTCTTTAACGTTTTAGTTTGATTGGACGTTGACCAGGAACTGTCAATTACTTAATTTTAGTAGTTAATAATACCTTTTTTAAAGTATATATAATTAAATATAATTTAATATACATATGTTTAAAATAAACACATAACATTTTAATATAATGAGACAATAATGCCAATTAAAAATTATATTTATTTTTAAATTTATACATGTGTTTTGTGCATACACAGATACATTAATAATCATTTACATTAAATTTATATTTATAATGTTGTAATCCTACTACATTATTTATTAGTATATTACTTTTGTTTGGCCACTGTTTGTTTGTTTGGTTTAAGAAGATGAATATTAATTAAATACTAATAAGCTTTTGTTTTGGCCACTGATCTCATTATGTCAGTTATATTAATAATGTTAATATATTAATTTGGTTTCACTGGCCACTAAGAAAAAACTATTGTCATGTATATATTAATAAAAATGAACAATAATAACAATGAATAAAATCAATATTAAAATACTTTTTTTGCCCACTTTGTCAGTTTCGAACTCAGCTTTTATTTTTCTATTATATACATTTTTAAATCTCAGCTTTTGTAATTATACTATGATTTAGTTTGGCCTCATCTTTTGAGGTTTTGATATAATATTATTCTGCAAACTCAAAGCCAGAACACACAGTATTTGATGTATTATGCCGTTATATAAAGCAGGACCAATCAGATTTAACTGTGAGAAAAACTAGAAATAGAAACCAGCAAACATGACAGTTAGTTAGACAGAAACTCACATTAACAGAAGTGTGACTGTGTGTAAGGCAGACGCCTCGTTAAACTGGTTTAACTTGAGTGGGCTGTATTGCTCTCAGCGATACAGAATTAAAAAATGCATTGACGACATTTCAGTGGATAGAAACGCTTCAGGCGCCTCTGAGCCAATCAGCAGCAGAGCGGACTGAAAGAGCCAATCAGAACA